TAAAGCCCGACATCATCAACTACAGCGCTGGGAACAGCGCTTGCGAGAAGCTGCAGCGGAATACGAAGGCGAGAAATAATACCAACGACATCAGCTACATCATAGAAAGCGGTGCAGAGACCGTCACCTGCAGCGCGAGGGAGCAGAGCAGAGCGGCTTCGCACCACGAGAAGTGGCTGGCCAAGCGGTTCGGGCGAAAGGCGAAGCTGGAGCCCAATTCCTACCTAGCTAGCTACTCCGACGTGGGAGCGAAGACCAGAGTCGTCAGGGCACAGCCGACACTCGAGGAGTGGATCTACGGCCCTGGCGGGTGATGCTGGCGTGGACGCGGGAGTGCGGCGCGTGCGCGACCAGCTGAGGGTGGCGCCCGAGCACGGCCGCCCCATACCCTGCATGGGAGCCCCTTGAGAATGGGGGCATACCTGGGGGAGGGGCACAGCGCCGAGGTCGGGCCCCAGACTTGCACCCGCAAGAGGCCGAAATCCCTGAAATCTCCTCCTCCTCCTCTTGTCAGCGTCCTCTGCCTTCTCCGCAGTGGTGTTCTGGAGTACTCCAGGTGCCGTTCGGATCGGTGGTGTCTCAGGCGCGAGCGCGCTCGTGTCGTGCGCCTTCGGGTAATGCGGGTCGTCGGCGGTGAGGACCTCGTTGGTGCGGGGTGGGACTTGGTCGTAGACGTCGCTCCATTCGATGCTGTTGCGGGCTATGATGTCGGTGCCGGTGCATCTGGTACATGTACCACCTTTTGGGTTACCTTCGCTGTGTCATCTCGAGCCGCACCCCGTGCATATCGCAATCGGGTCGTGTCTGGTCGGCGCTGGGGTGTCGTTGCTGGATATTGGGTGGTTACCAGTAGAAGTGGCATGTCCTCGCCCTCCTGGATGTTCCAAGTGTTTTCCAGTATCAAGCCCATGTTGAAAGGGCCTGTGATCAAGTCCCTCGCGATGTCACGTACGATCCGTGCAGCTTGTGCCAGCTCCCGTCCGCGTAGCATGTCTGCAAGGGAAGATACAGGGTCTCGGTGATTGAGCTGGTAGATGGCGAAGGTGAACTTTTAGCGGAATTCAGAGTCGCTCTTGAACTTGTTCTGGTACCACGTCATGTGGACTTGCTCAGGTGGGGTGACTTCGATCACCTCGTTGTCTTTTTCAGGCGGTGGTCACGGCGTTAGCCGTGGCCGGGCCTCATCGTCGTCGACCTTGAAGGGGGCACTCTGCTGGTAACGTAGTCACTTGTAGTTTGGTTCTTGTACTTGAAATCTCCTTGTTGTCGTTTGTCAGGTGTGTCTCTTCCATGTCGATCGCAGCTTCCAATTCTCTTGAAACTTCCACATGGTCGCGAGAGTCTCTGGGTTGTGGTAGTACGCTCGGGCATTGCTGTAGTCAGGGTGGGCCCATTCATGGGCATTGCAGCTTGTGCTTGTGAGATGGCAAGGCGAGTAGTCCGTCATCTAGATCGGGTGGGTCGGACTTCGGGGTTGCTGGTTCGTAGATCTAGTGAGCCTCGCGTGGACGAGCGTACGGATTGTATCTTGGTCTCATGTCTGGTTTTTCCTGCTCAGCCATCGGGTAGATCGTCCAGCGTGGGGCTGTGCTTGGTGCCGGTATTGCATCGGACACGATGGCAGTTGTCCCGATCTGCTGGCAGTGGGGGAAGGCTTGGGACCTCCTGATTTCCAGCGACGTGACGTTGAGTGGCCTCCTGTCGATGCGGCCTATCGATGACCAGGTGGGACATCAATTGTGGAATCTTGTCATCTGCGCAAGGCTTGCCAAGTTGAGCTTGCTTCCCGCCGTATTCAAGGTCTTGTTTGAGCTCGTAGAGTTGTCGCAGTTCCTGTAGCTACTTGCCCACTTCTGTCTTGTGCTCTTCGGATAGCTTGTCGTAGTCGGTCATCTTGATCACGATTAGCTTGCCGTTTATATTGACCTTGGTTGGTGGTTGCCATTGCGCAGTATCCTTCGTTGGCCTCTCAATGGGATCCGGCTCCCTTGGTGGTATCATCTCCGGTCCATTCCCACGTTGTTTGTGCCGTCGTTCGTCCATGTCGTGATGCTGTTGCCGATTTCGTCTGCTGCGTCAGTCGCCACATCCCTGCATTTTGTGACTAGGCCTGTGTGATCCAGCTCCCCAAGCTCAGCTAGCCACGTCGGTAGATTGCCTCCATTGGGTGACCTGGTCCCAGCGGTCGCCTGTACGATGCACTGTAGCGGTCTAGGTTGTTGATCTCGTCTTGGTTGCAGGAATTGATCGGCACCTCGTCACCCGTCGGGTTCCTTGGAACCGCGTGGTGGAGGCCTCGGTTGGTCTGGGGCGTGATGTTGTGGATGTCTTCGGGGATGATGCAGATGTCGGTCGTCGCGTGCATGGCCTTGACTCCCGTGGTCTCTATGACGTCACTCAGGTATGTGCATGCGATTTTGGCCTCTGATGGTGTCCATCTGTTGGAGT